AGAGAGAGAGAATGCGAGAGAGTGCCAGATTGTGACCGGGATTGGTGACAATGAAACGCTATAACATGGTAACAAAAAATATATTTATAAGCCCTCCACTTTGTATTGACACCACTTTGTTATGTGTAGTACATTATATACACACACTTTTGTGTCCGCGAGGGGTTTGTGCGTAAAATTTGAACAAATGGACAAAACATTGTGTTATGCAGATTGTGTTGAATGTTCAATAACTCATTGACTCTCTCATAGATGTGTTTGAAATATGTGTTTGAAATCATCTACTTTTTGTTGAAGTACTTCATATATGACTTGAAAACGACTCTCTCTGTGACAATAAATATCATATATATATTNCTCTCTCTGTGACAATAAATATCATATATATATTGTGTACACTTATTATTCAAAGCGTATAATGAAATAGTAGGCACGCAATGGTAGGCATGAGAGAGAATGAGTCTCTCTCCAAGTGTGAAGAGAAATGCTTTTCAACACAGAAGAGAGAGAGAGAGAGAGAGAGAGAGAGAGAGAGAGAATATTATATCTTATACGCCAACCATTAATATTCTCGCACTTATAGACCTAACTTAACCTAAGTTTTAATTTTAACTTTTTTATACATAACACCGAATAGAAAACTACAATTACAATGAATGATGATATGATGGCAAATAAAAATGTCAGTACATCAAAAACACATACCATTACAAAAATAATATAATAAACTAGCGAGGTAAAACCAATTTAAAAGCAAGCAAACAAGCACAACACATACCTGCCGGTCTTAGTGATGATCATTTCGGTGCCCAACTCGTGAAACCTGTCCCACAGGTCCTTATTCTCGAGCCGACACTCGACCCGCTCGAGCTCCGGACAATTGCATCGCGGTTTGCAGAGCTCGGCACAGGGGTTGGGCTCCGAGGACTTGCCTCCGCCCGACTCGCCGTTGGCCTTCAGCCGCGAGGCGGCCGTCGACGACGAGGCGTGTGAGTTGGCCGGCGATGGCGAGCGACTGGCGGCCGATTGTGGCCGACAACTGTCGCCTACGGTCGAGTCGGAGCACCGGCTCTCGCGGTCACCAACACTAGACGTAGAGCTGGGCGGCCGGTGGGGCACCGGTAGCACCGGGTGTTGGTTATGATTGGCGGCCTGTTGTGGCCGGTGGTGTTGCCGCTGATGGTTGTTGTGCTGGTTGTGCGACACCGTGTAGTGGTTGTGGTCGGAGAGGTCGGAGTCGGCCGGCGATAGTGGCGGCGATTGGGGCGAAACGTCCCGTTGCTTATAGTTGGCCAAGAATTTTGAGTGTATGCTCACCGATGAGGGGCTGTTCGATGGGCTCCGGTATGCTATAACACATAGTATCGTACAGTCAATAAATGTAGTGAATAAACATGTAACTATTATTTGTATGTATTTATGTATGAGAGATATTAAATATAATTATCTCATTAAAAAATATGCTAAATTTTGATTATATTGCGAGAGAGAGAGAGAGAGAGAGAGAGAGAGAGAGACTAATAAAAAATAGTATAAGAGTAATAAAAGTATCTCAAATAAATTACTATATTAAGCATTTAATCTAATTATTTGGCATAATTCATAAATCCCTAAAAAGCCATTAATGTAATCATTATTTGTGTACGTGTTATAAAAAACATTATACACATTAAACATTATACTAAGCATATACGGTACAAAAAAACTATTAACACGTTGATTATACCTTTAGAGAGAGGACTGCCGCCCATGATATCGGCGGTGGCGGCCAATTGGGGTGACGGGCGGTCACTATCGGGCGCCGATCGGCCCATAATAGCGTCAATTGAGAAGTTAGTGGCCGGTCGGGCGCCGGTCTGTAAGGCGAGCGGCATTTGGCCGGCGATGGGCTGAGGCATCGATCCGATAATGTCGACGATCGACGGCGGCTTACGTTGGCTGAGTTGGGCTGTCGACGAGTTTTGCATTTAAGGCCAATCACACGGCGATAGTGTCTGTCTCTGTGTCTGTGATTTACACGGGATTAGTTGTGTACACCATATATGCCAGCAATATGTTGATGCGTGTGTATTACGATGACCATGTAGGCTTATTTATACAGTACACATGCTAGTCATATAGCACTAGTTTATAATGCGATAGTGTATAGCATTAAGTTGTTGGTGACAAAAACGATTAAGATGATTATAGATGAAAGTGTGGGTGAGTAGGCGAGTATGTTGTGAATAGGCTATAATGTATGAGCCCGGGCAGTTTTTGTTTTTAGCGTGAAATGGCACTCAAGTTACCAGGCTGCTAATGAATTGCAGATATGCACACCACACCAGAGAGCACACTGTTATTGTGAAAGAGTTGATCAGGGTTAAAATCAGAAAATTTTATTAGTTATTATTACCAATATTAGAAACACTGTATTCAAACACACTTCATTAGGCTAATTTCAAATCACCACACGCGCCCTGTGTTGATGTGATAGGGTCAATTACTGCGCTTGGTGATTTATTAATTATTGCCGTATTGTCGTTGCACACTAACAAATAACAATTAAACTTAATGAAATATACTTTTATATATATATTTCATCAACTAATCACCCTGATGAGCTAGCACGCGCGCACATATACACAATCTCCCTAGCTCAATTTTGTTTGTTAACTCGTGAGTGTTATGTGCAAAATACACGACTGATTTGACTTCATTTACTACTATACCAATAATGACAGCGTATTTGTGGCATACAATCGCTTCGCGAGTGTAAAACATTGGGGAGGGATAGCCTTATTGAGGGCCGACACCGGGTGTTAGTGCGGGGAGTGGCCAACTCTGGCACTCATACACTGTACACATATACATGTGCAGACTCGCCAAAGTGCCAACAGTGCTAACAGTACGCGTATATACATGTATATTATATGATGTAGATAGATGTGTGATCAACTTTTGTGCCACCGATTGGTTACCTAGTCTCTTCAGCTCTCTCTCTCTCTCTCTCTCTCTCTCTCTCTCGCACTCACCCTCTCTATCGCCATCTAAC